GTATGGCGAAAGGCGCGAAAGGGATGATGGGCTATCAAAGCCACTAGCAATCGTATACTGAGACAAATGATCGGCAGAGGTTAGACTCTGATCGTATACTTTTCGATGACCACTTTTAAATTCATGCGATCCTGGCACAAATTATGTTTGGCACTCTTCATAGATTAAAATTAATCTATGTTTACATAAAAATTGGAAACAGAAAACCCTTTTCGCAATTTACAACCAGTGTTTGCTTGCACGAACACATTCAACCTTTTACATTTCCAGGTAATGGGCATCTTGTCGAAAAGCATAGTACCGCTCAGGGTTGCAGTTTATCAAGCAAGGAAAATTTTGGTTGCTACTATGCATTCTTGCTATTAATCACCCATTACAACAGAATCACGAATATACAGTGAACTGGTATACAACCTCCCATTGGCTTTAGACCATGATTACAAATCTTTTAAATTAAAATAAAACTACCAGGAACCTGGTATACAAACACCTCCCATTGGCTTTAGACCATGATTACAAATCTTTTAAATGAGAAGATAAGCTCATTAAAGCAAGCCGGGGAGTGGGGGTGGGTGGTGTTGGGGGGGGGGGCGGGGGATGATTACAAATGAGATGATTCCTGTATTCGAGCTTGTTTCTCATTTTATGAAGAAGAAACACTCAATACATCTCCTTGCCATAACAATTCTCCCATCGTCCATAACAAATTGCACCGCTCAGCATACTTGAGTTCTTCAGTCGATTGAGTCGACCCACAATGCAGCAACTTCTCCATTACCAGTCACAGAACTCTTAACAGCATGATTACTCCAATCTGTAAGCATTATAAGGAATGTTCAGGAAGACTAGCATATCATCAAAAACAAGTCTTCTGCTTATGTGCGCGGCGGGTGGGTGTTGTGCGTTGCGGCTGCAGGTATGTGCGTGCATGTTTCTCTCTCTCTCTCTTCTATATATTATGTGTTACAATACACCTAGGGTGTAACTTATGTTAAACACACCTATAAAAAAATATATAATCGATATTAGTAATCCACAACGCTTTCCATTGCTGATATATGCGCCTCAAAACTTCATGAAGAATCTAAAAATCACATAGATTAAATATTTCTAGATTATACATCTAATGACCAGAAATGACTGCGTCTGAAACTATCTCAAATATCACTTATTTTTGGTTGTTTGAATATGTGGGATAGAAAATTCCAAACACACGAGTTTTTATCCACTTAGATTTGATGGCATACAGAAATGATTAATGGCTTGGATTTGCAATATAGATGAGTAAAAGATATATTTTTATAAAAGTAGGTGTATTGTAACCTATAACCAACTTAGGCTACCACCATATATATATATATGAGATTAATGTGGTATTCCTTGTCATAGGAGAGGATTTCCTCCTTGACGTCTATGGCACAATCCCCATATCCTCATTAAAGTAGGAGAGAGTGTGAGTTGGTATTGTGCACTACTTTATGCAGTGATGTGGTTGGTTCACATAGGCGGACAAGGGCAGAGAATCTCCTCCTATGACAAGGATATCCATTAATCTCTCTCGTCCATAGTAGTATATAATATATATATATATAATATATACTATATATGAGAAATAATTGAGTATGCTTAGCGTACAAGCCCAGCAAAAATGTGATTCGGCTGGTAGTTGAGGTGTCAAATCCCCGTTCCACTCATTCCAATGTGGGAACAAATTCACATGGGTAGGGGTGATGAGGACTGTGCAAACATCACTACCAAGCCACAAAATTTGGTGTGCTTGCTACCAAGCATACCCATATGGTCTCATATTATATATATATATATATATATATATATGAACTCAATTTTAAAAATTTCAAAAAGCTTGCTATTTATTAGGACATTAGTTTTATCTTTCTATCCCCCCCAACCCCCCCCCCCCCCCCCCCCCCCCCCACACACACACGCACTATGATAGTACTATTATATATATATATATATATATATAATATAATATATATATATATAATTATATATATATTATATATTGTAACTCAATTTTTAAAATTTCAAAAAAGAGCTTCTATTTATTACGCGACATAGTTATCCTTTCTATTCCCCCCGCCCCCTCTACACACGCACAAATGGTTGTGTTTCTTGTTAGACCTTTTTGATGTGGTCTTTTTGATACTGACTTGGTCGGTGTGTAAAATACATATGCCTACGAACCCCCTTCGAGGATCATGAATCTAGTAATTGCTCTTTAACGGCTTCCTCATGAATATCACGTTCTTTATTGTAGCAAAATTCTGTCTTTCGTATTCGCATACAATACCATCAAAAAATGTTTAGGAAGCATCACCTAAATCACACATGCAAGAGGAGAGGTTGATGTTAGAGGCTTAGAATGCAATTGTTCGACACCGTATGATGGACATATACGTTGCTTTAAGAGATTTTCCTAAAATAGAACTTTCTCTGAGTATTCTCTTATCACAAATAAAACTATCTATGCTGGAAACTTTCAGCAATCCCAATTGTCTCAATGTCCATGTGCTACTTATATTTTTAGTGACGATGGCTGATTTAGTTCCTAAGAGATAATCTGATGGTAGTTAGCTTAAACCTTCTTTATCCGAAGACACATGGAACTCGAGCATACAATGAAGCGAGTTGTACTTGGCCTCCCTACTCACCTCAGGTAAAGGGCGAATGTTTGGCCCCCTAAAAAGGGAAAAAATAAAACCTCTACATGGACATAGTTAAATGCTTTATCATAATGTAATTCTCCAAAAGTCCGCGAAGACCGAGTCCTAGCCACCTACGAAATTTTCTCTTTTATGAAGGAAGAAACACTCAATACATCTCCTTGCATAACAATTCTCCCATCGTCCATACAAATTGCACCGTCAGCATACTTGAGTTCTTCCAGTCGATGAGTGACCCACAATGCAGCAACTTCTCCATTACCAGTCACAGAACTCTTAACAGCATTGATTACTCCAATCTGTAAGCATTATAAGGAATGTCAGGAAAGACTAGCATATCATCAAAAACAAGTCTTCTGCTTATGTGCGGGCGGGTGGGTGTTGTGCGTGTGCGGGCGTGTATGTGCGTGCATGTTTCTCTCTCTCTCTCTTTATATATATGGTTACAATACACCTAGGGTGTAACTTAGTTAAACACACCTATAAAAATATATAATCGATATTAGTAATCCACAACGTCCATTGTGATATATGCGCTCAAAACTTCATGAAGATTAAAAATCACATAGATTAAATATTTCTAGATTATACATCTAATGACCTAGAAATGAACGGTCTGAAACTATCTCAAATATCACTTATTTTTGGGTTGTTTGAATTGTGGGATAGAAAATTCCAAACCACACGATTTTTATCCACTTAGATTTGATGGCATACAGATAATAATTAATGGCTTGGATTTGCAATATAGATGAGTAAAGATATATTTTTATAAAAGTAGGTGTATTGTAACCTATAACCAACTTAGCTACACCTATATATATATATGAGATTAATGGGTATCCTTGTCATAGGAGAGGATTTCCTCCTTGACGTCTATGTGGCACAATCCCCATTATCCTCATAAAGTAGGAGAGAGTGTGAGTTGGTGGGAATTTGTGCCTACTTTATGAGGATGGTGGGGATTGTGTCACATAGGCGACAAGGAGAGAAATCTCCTCCTATGACAAGGATATCCATTAATCTCTCTCTTAATATTATTATATATATATATATATATATATTATATAGAGAATATGAGTATGCTTGTTACAAGCCCAGCAAAAAGTGTGCTTGGTAGTTGAGGTGTCAAATCCCCCTCCACTCATTCAATGTGGGAACAATTCACATGGGTAGTGAGTGGATGAGGATGTGAACACATCACTACCAGCACAAAAATTTGTGCTTGGTACCAAGCATACCCATATTTCTCATATATATATATATATATATATATATATATGAACTCAATTTTAAAATTTCAAAAAGCTTCTATTTATTAGGACATAAGTTTTATCTTTCTATCCCCCCAACCCCCCCCCCCCCCCCCCCCCCCACACACACACGCACTATATTACTATATATATATATATATATATATATATATATATATATATATATATATATATATATATATATATATATATGTAACTCAATTTTTAAAATTTCAAAAAAGAGCTTCTATTTATTAGGGACATAGTTTTATCTTTCTATCCCCCCCCCCCCTCTACACACGCACAAATGTTGTGTTCTTGTAGACCTTTCCTTTTTGATTAGGGTGTTTTTTGATCTGACTTGGTGGTGTGTAAATACATTGCCTACGAACCCCCTTCGAGATCATGATCTAGTAGATTGCTTTTAAGGCTTCCTCATGAATATCACTTCTTATGTGAAAATTTGTCTTTCTTTGATAAATACCTCAAAAATGTTAGGAAGCATCCCTAACATCCACACATGCAAAGAGGAGAGGTTGCATGTTAGGGCTTAGAATGCAATTGTTTCGACCACCGTATGATGGACATATAGTTGCTTTTAAGAATTTTTCCTAAAATAGAATTGTCTCTAGTATTCTCTTATCACAAATAAAACTATCTATGCTGGAACTTTCAGCAATCAATTCAGATTCCATTGTACTAGTTTTAGGAGATGCTGATTTAGAACATAGAATAATCCTAGGGTAGTTAGCTTAGACCTTTTATCAAGAACATGGAATAATACATGAAGTGATTGCTCCCTACTCACCTCAGTCTAAGGGAGTTGCTAAAAGGAAAAAATAAAACTCTAATGGACATAGTTAATGCTTTACTAATTAATTCAAAAGCACCTGAAAATCTATAGGATGAAGCTCTTCTAGGGTTACCTCATAAGAACTCTACTTGCATTATCTTCTATTCATAATCTTATTGTTCACCAAATGAATGTAAAAACAACATTTCTAAATGGTGAACTAGAAGAAATTTATATGGATCAACCTAATGGTTTTGTGATTAAGGGACAAGAAAATAAAGTATACAAATTGGTAAAATCATTATATGGTCTTACAAGCTCCTAAACAATGACAAGAGAAATTTGATATAGTAGTAATTTTAGATTTTGGTTTTTCAATTAACAGATTTGATGAGTGTTAATTGTAAGACTCTAGATCATGATCATGTGATTTTATGTTTGTTTGTTGATATCTTGATCTTAGGAGCTTTTCTAGAAGTAATAATTAATAAATAATGTCAAAAATAAATTTGACATGAAAGATTTAGGAACATCTGATATGATTTTAGGAATAAAAATTTCTAGAAGTGACAAAGGCATATCCTTATCTTTGGAACACTCAGTTGAGAAAAATGCTTAGAAAATTTAACTATTAAGACTACAAATATATAGACTCCTTATAGCTAGCATTTCTCTACACAAAAATTTAGGAGATCCTATCTCACAACAAAAATATGCCCAACAAATAGGACAACTTATGTATATAACAAATAAGAGTAGACCTCACAGTCAGTCATGTCATCGATTAACTTATTAGAAGAAGCATTAGATAAGAGTCCAGACTCTTCAACACTCTCATCTTATGTAGTTCCTTAAGTTCCGCCAGGAAAAAAAAAGAAGCAGAAGGAAAGAAAAGAATAAGGCAACTCTACGACCTGAAATATTCTTCTGATCCACGTATTGCAAATTTATTCCTTGTATTTAAGATGAGACATTTATTCTTTTGATATTAATCCAATAGATTGTTTATTAGCAAATACAACCTATTGTTTCAACCTGAAAGGAAAACAAAGAGAAAAAAAGGAAAAGGGTTAAAGAAATGATAGGGCAAGTATCTAATGGATTAGCTAATGAATGACTACTGTTGTCTAAAAACAAAATGACTTTATGTATGACATATGAATAGTGAGGATTAAAACCTGGATATTACATCCATGAGTATTGGGTGTTTTTTTAGTGTCGTTTGCCTAGTTAAAGTTCTTCTAAGCACTTGTCCATGAGTATTTTTTCAAGGAGAACATGTATTCTATTAAAGTGATTGTTATTTTTGAAACTTGCAAGTGTTTATAAAGGTAATCTTCATTCTGAAATAGTTTGAATGGAAAGGGAATAAGAACCGAGGTCCCCTCTAACAAGAGAAATAGAAGACAATGATATATCTATTTAAAAATAAAATCTACAAGATCTCAAGTTTCAAATGTATAATTGCTAGGATTCAAACAATATTTAAATGTATTTGGATTTAAGGTGCAATCACTTGTATTGATATGAGTTCATGAATAGAATTGGATCATAATTATCTATGTATTTGTATTAGGAAGATATAATAAGAGTTCGGAATAACTATTGAAAAGCCACGATGATTCACAACTTGTTGGTCTTGCATTGGCATTTGACTTGCATCTTGATCCGATATTGATCTACGATGATTCACAACTTGCATCAACTGAATGAGAATTTTTTTTCTAAAAAGAAGGAATTGAATCCTTATTTTCTAAAAGGCAAGAGATGATATACAAATCCTAGAAGATACAGGTTGAACATGTTCCTCAATCATATAATCATAAAGGGGACGCTTTGGCAAGCCTTACGACATCCCTAGATATTCTCCAAAAACTACCCTCCAAATATGTGGAAACAAAGTGGGTATTATCATTGATACTTGAGTCAGCACAGAAGACATTGACATTCATAATAATTTCGGTTTATATATTGAAGAAGAAAAAGATTGGCAAAGCGCCAAAAACCATTGTTGAATTATCTCAACCATGGGATTCTTCATGAGTATACTCATCAAAGACAACAAATAAAGAAACGTGTCACTACACGCGTATTGAAGGGATCCTTTTTAGGTGATTTTTTCACCGAATGCTTCTTCATTGTTTATCTGATAACGAAATCATGAAAGCTTTGGAAGATGTGAATGCTGGAGTATGTAGAGCTCAATCAAAACAAAGACTTTACCATCAACTCAAGCATCTGGGTATTATTGGTTTGCAATGGCTTAGGATGTCATGCAATTTGTTTAGGGATATCATGTTTGTCAAATTAATGTGGATTCCATACATCAACCCCCATAACAACTCCATAAAACTAATATATCTCCGTTTTCTGATGCATGAGAAATAGATAAAGTCTGAATACCCTATTCATCCTCCATCATCAAAGGAGCATAGTTATATAACCGCTAATTAGTTCTTTAATTTTAACTAAAATATGATATTAGTACGAAACCTTATTCATCCCACCTCTAGAGTTTCCTGTAATCCTAAAAATTACATTTTTTTTCTTTTAGAAATCGCATTTTGATGCTCCTTCCAAAATTAAGGATTTTGAACCCTAGTTCTATCTATTTCTAGAATCTAACAACCTCCGTTTTACCATTCTTACCCAGCACTGTTTGGTAAATACTAGATGATTTATTACCTCACGTTGTAGCATACTTCCCGGGATAAAGCTCTCTCACTCTCCTAATAAGGAAATGTTTTCTAGTAGTGTTATTCGAATGTTTTCGGATTTGTCTCAAATTTGCCTTTAGCAAATCACTTCTATTTGTGATTCCTCGGTGAACAAGGATTCTTGTAATCCATATTGAAAAATAATTCTATCTGGGATTTCTAGTTTGGCTAGGATTCTATTTTAAGGCATCTAGTTCAACAAGCGTTCTATTTGAAGTATTCTATTTGCAATTCCCAGTTAAGTTACGATGCATGTGTTTATAAATACATCATAACAGAGAGAGAGAGAGAGAGAGAGAGAGAGAGAGAGAGAGAGAGAGAGAGAGAGAGAGAGAGAGAGAGTAAGGCATCTAGTTCAACAAGCGTTCTATTTGAAGTATTCTATTTGCAATTCCCAGTTAAGTTACGATGCATGTGTTTATAAATACATCATAACAGAGAGAGAGAGAGAGAGAGAGAGAGAGAGAGAGAGAGTGTCTTGCTTAGGGATCTCTAGGACTTTAGAGAGAGTTCTGTAGAGAGAAGAATTCTTCTCAAGGGTTCTAGGGTTTTGTGAGGTACAATGATGATCAAAATTTTGTATATGCTGGGAAAAAACATCAATGAAAATCTATCGCGTCTACCTTCTATTGATATGTAGTTTCTCTTGCAAATAACCTATATAGAGCTATTTCAGGATACGCCCACAAAAAAAGGATCATACTAACAATCTAAAATAAAAGTTATAACTTATGAGTACAAATACCTGATCATACTCATCCAAAAATGTAGTCAATTCATCTAACAATAGCACCTTGCAGGCTTCAGCTAAAGCACCAGCAATTGCCACTCTTTGCTTTTGACCACCGCTAAGAGTTTGAATTGGCCTCTAATAAATGCAATAAAAGAAATAATCATACTACAATTCCTCAGAACAAATGTTTAAAAAAATATATTCTATTTGTTAAGTCTCAGAGACCTACTTGTGAGTAGGTTAACATGCCAACAGCATCTAGAGCTTTTGATACCCTCAATTTAACTTCATCTAATGTCAGATTAAATTTACCAAGACCAAATGCAACATCTGCCTCGACTGTGGGCATCACAACCTACAAAAAAGAAATAAGATAATAACCACCTACATATTTGTAGCATTGAGAAAGTAAAGCCATAAACCTATCGGTGCCAAGAGCTAATATTTGCTAATATACATAATAGTACAGATAGATTAGAGAAACGGCTAGGAATTCATTCCTCTCCTAATTTATTGGTTCCTTAGGGTGTGTTTGGCAACTGGACCAAACTAGGCTTTATAACTGGTTCTAGTGAGAACCAATTCAGTTGTGGACCAGCTCCCCCCCACAATAAAACTAGTTAAGGGGGCCTTTTTTGGCTTAGAAAAACTGGGCCAACAATGGCCAAGTTTTTTGCCGAACAGAAAAGGCACCCAAAGCTGGGCCAGGTTCGGTCCTGGCCCAGTTTTAAAGTGTTGCCAAACAGGCAACTAGAGTTGGATGGAAATTTCGATATAGACTCTATATCATCTTTTACTTTTTTAAATAACATATCCAGGAATGAATGTATTGGAAATGAGAACAAATAGCAACACATCAACAGAGGAGAGGATAAGCATAAGGATACCTGCAGGAAGTTGGAGTCGCACCCACTGAGAATAAAATGAGACATAATCGATCTCAAATGGCGTGCACACGAGTGATGGAGGCAAGTAAGTGTGTCATTTATGAGAAAACCGATAGGATCGCATAGTTCGCAGAGAGATGAGGACCAGAGTTGTGGCATAGACAAACTTTGATAGAGGCAATTTACGAAGGATGTAAGAAAACCGTGCAGATGATCCTAAGTGGAGGTTGGTGGAAGACAAAGACTCGATTATGATGTGCCCAACCCTGAAACGTGTGATAAATAAAGCCTTAAAGATAGATACTTCTAAAAATCCATAAATCACAGAAAACCCTCCTGAACTCGTCTCACTTAAGGCGGTCTGCCATTTTACTTTGCCATGTCAATGTTATTTACGGGAATTTACTAAGTGCAAGTTTGAAACTTTCGGGAGTTTTCTCCAATCCATCCAAAGGTTAATGGGGTTTTGTGAAATTTGCCCTTTGAAACTGCCAACAGGTTTCAAGCTAAAAAGGAAAATAAAATGGGGGGCAAAAAAAAAACCTGATGATCGGGATTCTGGAAAACAAAACTCAGGGGCCTGTTAGCACTTAGGGTTCCCTCCGTTGGCTTCAGTAGCCCAGCTAAAACCTGCGGAAAATTTTTATTTAAAAAAAAAACTAATCAATCAATTAAAATAAAAGGGAGAGAATTGGGGATTGGGGATTACTTTGAGAAGGGTTGATTTGCCGCAGCCGTTGGGGCCGAGAACCATCCAGAGCTCGCCGGCGGGGACGCGAAAGGAGCAGTCTTTGAGAATGGGGAGGAGTTTGCCTTGCTTCGTGATGACTGAGAAACTTAGATTGCGGCCTTCAATGGCGAGGGGAGGAGGAGGAGGAGAGAGATTGGGGTTAGGGTTTTGGACTCGGCATTGGAGGATTCTGTTGATGCAAACAGGAGAGCGAGCATGATGCAGAGGCAACGGCATGAGAGAGAGAGAGAGAGAGAGAGAGAGCGCTTCAGCTTCGGCAGGTGATGATGATGATTTTAGAGGTTTTTTTCGATTTTAGTACCACAAATCTTAACACAAATTCAGATAAGCCCCTGTCGTTTGGGTTAAATTTCTTTTAGGGAAAAATGCTTCCAGCCCCCAAAAGCCAAGAAAACGTGCTCCCCCCCCAAGACTTTGTCAACGGGTGTTTTGCCCCCAAAAATAAAGATTTTGCCCCAAAACACAAAACCCAAGACATTAAAATATGTAAAGACCATAATATTATTCTCTCTCTCTTTTTATCATGATGTACTAAGATGATAGTTGAAATGATTGATGGAGATTATTTTATTATTTTCGTTGTTGATGAAGGGAACTAACTGTTTGTAGTGGGTGATTGTTAAAGTTAAGGGTTAACTGTTTGTAGTGGGAAATTTCTATTAAGCTCTCAAACTATTATTTCATTCTAGGGGTTTTTTATCTTCTGGTCTAATTGTCTATCCTAGTTTATCTTTAAACCAAACTATTTTCATTTGTACCATTGACCCTTTTCCGAATTTACCCTTCCCAACATCCCTGCGTTCCCTCGTTCTTCATCTCCTGCGCGCGATGGTAGAGCACAACACCACCCCCTCCCCCTCAACAATTTCTTATTTAATTTCCTCTTTCTTTTCCTTTACACTTTTTTTCCATTCATCCACTCTTATGAACCCATCAATTAATTCTCAACCCTATTAATGCTTAGGGTTTGATTGGTTGATTTTGGTGAAAATTCATCAATTAATTCTCATGGTTGGTTATTACAGTTAATACGAATTAATAATATTAAAAAAAAGCAAAACATTAACTTTAATTTTAGAATTCTCGTTTAATTTCAAAATTATGATTTTAATTTCATAATTTCTTGTGAGACCAAAATTTATAGTAAGTTAAATTTGGTTTTAGTTGACTATCTTTGATGAAAAATTTATTTATTTTTGGTGACAAACATAGATGGATGAAGATTTGTACTGTATATTTATGGTTTTTAGAGGAAATAATCACTTTTTTAAATTGAATGTCCATGGGAGTTAGAATGATTTAGCGATTGTAGTTCTAAGTCTAATTGCTTGTAGTGCAAACATGTTTGCAATTCATATACTTTCAATGTTCTGTTATATGTTTGAAATTTTCAAGCTTTTTCTATACGTTTTAAATTTTTGAGGTGTTTTTACCAAAATTTAAAAGTTTTAGCATGCTTTTTGCAAATTCAAAACTTTTCAGGGCGCTATTTGTAAGTCTTAGATTTTCAGTTGATTGTTTTGTGTTTGAATTTTCAGTTTTTTTTGTAAGTTTATAACTTTTATAGTGTTTTTAAAAATGGTTTCAAAGTTTCATGGTGTTTTCTGCAAATTCAAAACTTTTGGGGTGCTGTTTGTATTTTCTTGATTTTCATTGTTATGTTTTAGATTTGAAGTAGTCAGTTTTTACTTTTTTTTAATTTGATATTTGAGGGTGGTTTTTATAATTTTCAAAATGTTAGGGCGTTTCTGTAAATTCAAAAATTGTTAGGGTGCTTCTTGTAGGGTTAGAAATTTTCAATGTTATTTGTATGTTTTGAATTTTTAGGGTGTTTTTACAATTTTTGAAAATTTTGAGAATTTTTTGTATTTTTGGAATTGTTGGGGGGTTGTTTGTAATTTTCTATTTGTACAAGGGATATTTGTAATTTTTTAATTTAGGTCTTTTTGGTAAGTTTTGAAACTTTTTCGGACGTTTTTTTATAATTACACATTGTTAAATAAACTAAGCCTGAATTTTTCTCTCCTTTTTATCCTACCCCTTCACTCGGTTAAAGTTTATCGTCTTGTGATTAAACTATCAACGTTGGTTAAACTTTAACATGATAACTAACATGGTTAAAAGTTAATAAAATGTTTACCAGAATAAAGTTTAACCCCATTTACCCTTGCATCAAACAAACCCTTAGATATTCTTCTTGGGAGAATTCCTTGCAAAAGACACCTAGAAGTTGGAACAAATGGCAATGTAGACGGAAGAAAGATGAAATAAATTTTCATACTCCAGCAAAATTCATACCGATATACAAGCAAATATTCATGAGGGAGAAAATGGACCAAGTGGTTACATCTTTTAATTTAAGATGATATGCTCTGCCTCTCAAAAGAAATTTTAGTAGGGTGACAGCTCCAAGAACATGTGCATGCAAAGTATCAGAGTGCCCACCAACTAAAGCTATTATAAGGATATATATACACATCCCAAATAATCTTTTAAAAGTAACTGTGCTAGGTTTATATATACACATCCCAAATAATCTTTTAAAGTAACTGTGCTAGGTTTTCTCTCCTTTTTCTACTGAAGCAAAAATGATTACTTTGGACATGCAGCATCAAATTCTTCTTCTGCTGTCTAATCGCGTTCTTTTGGATGCTGGACCTGCTTCCACATTATCTGCGCTTGATTTTATCTGTAAATGGTTGATTGAGTAAGAAAGAATTTGTTCAAAAAAACAGTGAATTAAATATATTGCTGAAAAACTGCAGTGAATAATCAGTTTACCTTATCAAGCTTCTCCCTGACCAATTGAACTGTCTGATTCATGGACGAAGATGGGAAGTATTCCTGCACACAGAACGCAAAACCCAATAAGTTCGCAAGTTCATATATAACCTGCAGCTCTGATATTGTGTATAATATTATTCTACTATGCAGTAGAAATCCTTCAGAACAATCCCTATTAAGTCTATGGGGGTGGTTTACACCACTAATAGAATAGGCACAATAAAAAATTAACCCTCTAAGCACCATGAATAGTACACCCATGAATAGTATAGATCACCAATTTTACAAGGCATTCTCATAGTGTCTTTACTCTCTACTATGGACCAATTTGAACCATATTTATTTATCCAATTTTGTCGTAAGCCCTAATGAAACTTTTGAGAATAAAGAACCTTTTTTTCTTTTCTTTTCTTTTTTTTCTTTTTCTTTGTGTATGTGGGGGGTGGGTTTGGATTATTCCTGGTTTGGTTAGCAGGCAAAAATGACATAATGTAAACCACTTTCGGTCCAATCTTTAGGTTCCAAACTAGGATTATTCCTGGTCTGATTACTGTTCCCCTTAATCTGGTTAGCTCAATTTGCCAAACTCTACCTTTTATACATTCAATCAAATAGTATCAAGAAGACTAAAAAACTTTGCAATTTATGTCCCATCAACCTCATGCACGAGCAGCATGGTGATAGACTTGAACATTACCTTGTCCGAAGAAACATGGCCGATACACCCAGATTGATCTGCTGATGTATTATATTCCCTATATAGAATGTAATTTGAAATAAGAATTATCAATAATATAAAGTATAGCTGGACATTGGGGTTAGGGAGCCTCAAAGAAAAGACCCAATGAAAAGGGCAGTATGTTAAAACTTACCTATTATGATTGAAGTTCTGAAACTCTTGATGTCTCAGCATTGGTGAAGCTTGCCCACACTGATAAGTATCTGCCCTATTATGAGGATGATGAGCAACTTGAGAGAGGCTCTTTGATCCTTGACCTTTTCCATCTGCAACAAATAGGATCATGGCAAGAGAAGAATTTGACTCTTAATTGACAACAAGGTAAATATAATGCATGGTGGTACATTAATTAGGCAACAAGAGAAGAATTTGACTCTTAATTGACAACAAGGTAAATATAATGCATGGTGGTACATTAATTAGGCAGTAAATATAATGCATGGTGGTACATTAATTAGGCAACGTACGCTTTAGCCGTCCCAAGACTTCATTCCTCCTTCCCTCCAGTTTCTCCTTGGTGTCTGAAAGGGTTTCGAACTGAGGAGCATATGAAACCTGAAGGCGGTTTCCATAGAAAACTGACTCATCCAATTTTCTCTTTGCAAACCTTAAAAAAAGGATTCAATCATCAATATTCATTTCTGATGATCTAAAATTCATATACTTCAATAGTAACAGATTTTGCAAGAAAAATTAATATAAGGAAAGACATGGTATTATTGAGAAGATACATGTCAGGCAATATATGATGCCCTTTCATTCTTTCCCTTTCCTATAACATGTTCATTGTCGTAACAACTCATTGATTACACACCACGAATTGAATGCCAACATTATGGAATCAAAATATATAAGTCGGTTGACCATGTGCTCCAAAAACAGTTAGAGATAGGCACTTGTGGAATTTTTAACTTATCAAAGATGCACTAGAGATTAATAACTCAAAAATTCTAATACCCGACTGATGTGTCATTAGATATGCAGAAGCATTTATGTTATATTATTATTTGTGCACTTTTCCAGTATAAGGTTATGATTATATTTAGGTAATTATTAATGTATACAACTTCAAAGTATAGTTTAAATTTCGACTTACTATGTTTATTTAACCATCAGTCTTACAGGCGTATGTTATAGGTAAAACACTCCCACATATAACTGTTTATCCCGAATTATTAAAGATTCGTCATACTCAACTTTATCATGACATACTCGTGTCTTGTACAAATACTCAAGGGTGGATACAGAAGATTTTCTTAGGGCGGCAGGTCACAGGTATCTATATACCCAAATGAAAACAGCTACAACGTTCTAATGGGATTAACGAAATTGCTTCTAATTTGTAAATTTTTTATTTAAAAAATATATATATAACACCTTCCACCCAAAAAATACACTTTCTACAATGTACTGCCACATTGGATATTACTAGAGAGTATATATAAAGTTACTAAACTATAAGGTAAAAAATCACTTGTGCGTAAAATTTCAAAGTAATAAATTACAATCACCTTGCACTGCTGACCTGTGAAAATTTGATCCAGAATACATCAGTGAAAGGCTCACAGTCTTCCGTATCCATGGGTTTGCACCTGTCAAGAGAAAAAGGGGAACAACGAGTTGAAAGAGCTTATATATAACAAATGACCAATCCGCCACAAATCTTCAGAAAAAATCATGAGAACAATGCAAAGCTTTGCAGGAACAGACCACCCCCCCTTTGATGAACCTGGGATCCCTATCCAAAAAACTTCCAAACAGAAGGCTTTCCCTCTAGATGCCTGATTACCATCCAGGCTTATAACCAGGGTTGGCCATCACTATCCTCATATGGATTCTTTTTACCAAGATTTACTTGACCAAGAAAAAGAGTGCCGGTAGTAATGTTTTCTTGAATCTCCGTCTTTTCACCACGTCAATCCACTCGCTAGTATTGATAATTACTTGGAAAGTAGGTTTATACAAGAAAGGAATCTAGAAGCCAGATCCAGCACATAATGTCATGTTACATGATCATATACATAGCTAACACATCTGCACCCTATGATAGATTTCCAAGATAACTAAAATGGAACAACTTGGAACTCATGACACAAATCATCCGTTGATCTATATCATGAAGGCAAATCCAATCCAATCCAATTTGTAAGAACATGGTTGCGAAAAGCCCATCTAGGATTTTTGTGCTACGAGCCAACATATCATCGTCAATCCAAGTGTTTCTTAATGATATTATCCAAATCTAGATTAGGGTTACTTATGTGATTGTTACGCGATTGCCCCCACGGAAACCAAGATTTGGTGGATGGTCGCATTAGGGTGTTCATCAGTCCGCATATGATATGACACTACTCTTGTTTATCACCAAATTGAAACACAGAACACAACAACAAGGAAGAAGGAAAACAGCGGCGAGGACGCTCACTCTTCGACGTTCCCGTAGGATCCGAACAAATTCGACAGCTGCTCCCCGCACCCCAACGCGGGGACATTCCGCACAATTAAGTATCTGCGGGTGGAGCAATCAGTTAAATAGGCACAGGGGTTCACGACAACCCGAAAGGCAAGTAAATTTTACGCAGAGAAACCTGGACTCGTCGCAGACCGTGTAGACGCGGGCGGCAGCGGGTGCTCCGTCTCCGCATCTCCGAAGCGGCATCGGTCTGGCATCAGCAGCAGCAGCCGATGGCGTTCAATATGCGTGACAGAGGCTGCGGGGGGGTGGAAAAAAATTTTTTATAAAAATTAGCATGCTCGTCACTTGCGTTTTTATCAAGGTTGTTGATAGCGGATCGCGGTGCGTCGCGGAGAGGTACCGCTAAGGCTATTGCGCGCTATTGCGGCGAAATAGCAGCAAATAGCGCACAGTCAAATAGCGGTCAAATATAAATATATTTAAATATGCTAAATAATAAGAAAAATCATATAAAAATTTTTAAATTTCTACAAATGCATACTTGATACCTAAACATGAAATAGATGTGTAATAATTACATAATATTAACAAAGTGCTATAATTATAAAGATTAAAGAATGAAAAAACGTACCTGTTTATCCAAAAGACCGTTATTTGTCCCATTTCTTCAACTTTCAAGTCTCTAATATAAAAATGCTCAACAATAAAAAAGCATTGATCAGTAACATCATCTTTATATTTTGTCAGAGTTAAAATGTTTAAAGGCCTAGAAATGCAAGTGCATGCCAGATGAGACAAAATATTTTCACCTCTTCAGAACTTGAAGAAGGTTAAAGCAAGGGAACAGAAACTAATTATACTTGTAACCATGACGTTAAGAGTTCATTATGAAGTCAATGTAGAGAAGGACTGGGGAGAGAAGGACTGGGGATAGTAAGATGCGTTATTTGCAACTGAAACTAAAAAAAGACAAAACTCAAAAAGTTAAGTTGGCTAGGTTCATAACTATGTGCATGAGTTCTCCCTTCTACTTACAAAATTAAACAAAATTTTTAAGAATAACATTTCCCCATTTTGACCTTTGTGCAAGCTCTATCTGATTTATTTTATCGCAATGAGTAAATTAACTAACATCTGTCAAATATTAAAAAAAAAGAGATTGAAAATTCTGGATATCTAGTTCGATAGGCTGCATCCAACTCCAAAAAGAAATAAGAAAAAGAAAAGGAAAGAAAACACAAATCTTCATTAGATTACAAGATCAGGAACGAGAGATAATTCAAAGCCCTAAAGAGAGAGAGAGAGAGAAAGATGGGCTTCACCGGACTCCAGAGGTGTTGTTGGTGCGGGGTGCGACGATGATCGGAGGCGGCGTTGACGGCGCTGGACTTCGTCACCGGAGGACCGTGAAAGAGAAGGGCTTGACTGGAGAGAGAGAAAGATGGCTTGATCAAAGGTGCTGCTGGTTCAGGAGTGTTGATCGGAGCCCGGAGGTGGCGTTGACGGCGGTGGAAGTCGTCGCCGGTGGAAGTCGTCGCTTGGGAGAGAAGCGGCTAGGGCACAGGTGGGTTTGGGAAACAGCGGTGAGAGGGGTTTATGTAAATTGGGTACGGGTCGGGTTCGGGTCGGGTTCCGTAGCGGGGTTTAGCACCTTTAAGCGCTTTTTCAGCGCTAACATGCGCTTTTTGGCGATTTTCGAGCTAAAAGCGGTTTTTTCCGCCTAAACACGCCGCAATCACCCTGAGCGGCGCGGACAACCCCGCGACCGCGATCCGCGGCGCTATAGCGGCGCTTTTTCCCGCTTTTTACAACAGTGCTTATTCTGGGGACAGAGAGGCGGCGATCCGACTTCGTTTTTCTGACGGGTAGAGAGAGAGACGGCGAATTGGGGAACAAAATTGGGAATTTGGTTTTTTTAAGGGGTTTGTCAAGGGGGGTGTTTGTTTCAAATACTATAATTTTAGTATATGGATTTCACCATGTGATTTGAAATCCATAGGTAATTTGTTATGGGTTGAGATTCCTAAAACTTTGTTTGTTTCAACAATATTTTGGGATTTTGAATACTATAATTTGTAATATTTTTGTTTATTTCAAACTTTTTGAAATTTGAAATCCTTAATTTGTCTAAAACTTTTGAAATCCACCCCACATCCCACTCAAAAAAGAGGATTTCACAAATCTTTAAATATAATACTTTTTTATTATTTGGGGATTTGATATTCTAAAATTTGTTTAGAAACAAACAAGTTTTATGAAATTCTAAAACCCAAAAAAACCCACTTTTTGATCCTAGAATTTGAAATCTCACCCAAATGCCAAATTTTTTTTGAAACAAACACCCCCTATGGATATTAGTCCCTTAATTATACCTATTTCGATATTAGTTCCCCACACCTTTATATTTTGGTACAACAGGTTGAAATTGGCCCAGGACTGAACATAGCTCAATTTTAACTTGTTTTTTGTTTGTCAATTTTTTAGGTCGGAGATAGTCCAATTTTTTTTAAGTCTAAATAGTATCACTAAACCAGTTTTCATTTGGATCGGGGGGTCTGGTCCAAAAGAAAACTGGTTTAGTATAAAACTAGGCCAAGACTGATTCCGGTCTAGTTTTGTGCACTTTGCCAAACACACCCATAGTTAGCCTAAAAACTAATTTTTAGTTTGGTAAAAGTTGAATCAAAGTTTACTTTAATTCAAATTTTATACCCTTTAATTAGTTCTAATTTAGGCCAACGCTTAGTTGTAGAAATAGTTATGCCTCCGACCCAATGTATACTCAAACCCACTTAGACCTTAATAGACCAAAACCTGTTTCTTTACATTTTCATCTTTAATGATAAAAACAAGTTGCAGCAAAAGAAAGATTCTAAGGTGCTGAATGTTTGATTTTAGATATTTTCATTAACTTTTTGATAGTTAACAGTCTCCATATCTTGTTTATGGGCCAATTTATGGATAGATTGCTTAGCTCTTGAATATTTAGCATTCTATACAGGAAGTAAAGAGAACGTGAAATCTGTGAGCAACGATATTTTGTAACCTTCGCACAACAAGAAAATAGATCAGAGTCCACAGAATCAACAAACCCATGGTAATTAAGAAATAACAAAGGAATAATTCACATCTATAATATTATATATATATATATATAAAAAAACATTATGAGGGTAGGCAAATATGAAGGAATGAGTCATTATTCCTTTAATTTGTTAAGGAATAGAGGATCATTTTAGAAAATGGTTGGATAATTTGGTCATTTGATAATATTATTTAATTATATGAATTTCATTTCTCCCCTCCTCTTCTCTCTAAAAAATTCTACTTTCATTTCTTCATTTTCTTATCAAATTTAAAAATCTCATGCACAACTCTTTTAGAATTTTATTATTAAAAAAATAACTATAATACAACACACTGCAAGTTAGGTGGTGACATATTTCAAATATGAGTGTTATTTAACATGTACATAATATATAATAAAAATTTAAGAACTAAAAAAATATATATTTTAAAGTTGTGTTGATAAATTATAAAGATTGAATGAATTTTCTTATGTGTAACAGCTTTTTTAGCTTCAATCGAAAGTTAATATTTTTCATGTTACAACCAAGAAACTAAAAAATTTAAAAATTAAATGAAAAAATATTTTTTTTCACTAATAATCAATAAAACTATTATATGAGTTTTAAGCTCACTTTCATTCCTCTTATTAAAGTGAAGGATGCAATAATAACTTTTTTCATGCATGAAAGATATGCATATTTTCTATAAGCTCTTACTACTTTGATCACATGCATTATGCACGTGTCAATATCTATACATATAAAACTCTTAGGGCCCGTTTGGTTGGGCAAATTTGAGATGGAAAGGGACTGTAGAGCTGCCAAAAGCGCCAGTTTTTGGCAGCTTTACAGCAAAATCGCCTCTTTAAGAGGCGATTTTGCTGTAAAGCTGCCAAAAACTGGCGCTTTTGGCAGCTCTACTTTTCTTTCTTCTCTTATTTCTAGAAGGTTGTAAATTATAAATGAGAACAGGATTTCATTCACAATAATTAATATTTAGCATATTTTTATTTTCAAAACATTCTAAAATATTGATGAAAGTAAGATTTGAACTAGCATAATTAAATCTTCATCAAGTTATATATTATAAGAGATTAAAATATAATATAATAAGTTTCTTTTATGAAATAATTATTAAATACATATCAATGCCAAATATATATAATGATTAAAAATTTTGATCACAATCACTTTAAACAATACTTTTAATTTTAAATAGTAGAATATTTTAACAACTCCATATAACCTTTATATCATTTGGAAAGTAGTATCTTCCATGAAGATTTTGGTTGACATTTAGTAAATAGAAAACTATATTTTCATGCTCGGATAAGATTAAAATATTATATTTTTATAAAATTATATCTTAATTATTCTGGAGTATGATATAAAAGTTAAGAAACTGATGAAACTTTATGATTTTAAATATAATTCTCTTTTTTTATATAAAAAGTTGGAATAAATACGTTTAATATCTATGGCATGTGCACTTGCACGAGCAATAAGTTAGTGCGAGTAGCAATGATAAAAAGAATGAAAACCAGTAAGAAAACAACTAAAATCTATACTACTATACTAAAATCTTAGTGGGATACCAAAAAGATTGAAGGATATTTTCCATTATTGTAGGAAAGGAAGGGGCATATTGGTAAATTCGCACATGAAAGATTTTTTTTCCCCTATCTTTGGTTCATTCTTTTATTTCTAGAATATTCTAAATTATGAATGAGAATACAGTTTCATTCACAATAATTAATATTCATCATTTTCTTATTTCTAGAATACTCTATAATGAAAATAGGATTTAAACTAACATAATTAAATGTTCATCAAATTACACGCTATAACAGATTAAAATACACAATGATAAGTTTCTTTTTCAAATGGATTATTAAGTACATGTCAATGTAAAATATAATGATTAAAACAATTAACCATGATCACGTAGAATTTTTTAAACAACTCCTTATAATTGTAAATATTATTGGGAAAGGTATTTTCTACAATAATTTCTGTTGACATTTAGTAATTGAAACTACGTTTTCATGCTTGAAATAAATTACAATATAATATTTTTATAAAATTTATCTTAACTATTTTAGAGTCCAAATCCAAATCTATGTTTGGTTAATTGCAAGTTGTTAGATTTGCAATATCTTTTTTTTTTCTTTTTTTTTTTGGAGGAACTGCATATTATTGCAAATCAAATGGTTTTTTCTCTGCAAATGAAAAGGATCTACGTTTTGTATGTAAGAATTTACTAATTTGATGACATGGTGTTAGTCTTTTTTTTTTTTTTTTTTTTAAATGATTGATGACATGGTGTTAGTCTTTTTTTTTTTTTTTTTTTTAAATGATTGCAAACTTGCAACATTTGTTGCTGCCAAAATGGTTACAACAAATGCTACACCTGTTTGTTACAAAACATAAACCAAATAACCATAACTAACTATGTAGTTGCAAATTAGATGTTGGCAATAGAAATTTTTGTGTAATATTTACCATTGTAGGTGTGTTTCCGTGAAACAAACAGCCCTAAATTATTATAGCCCTCCCTCCGCATATTAGTTCATTTTCTGCAGAGGTTCACAGCTATAACATTTTCTTGTCATGTTCTGCCTCTCCTTTCTATTGATTAACATATCACATGCAATGAAATTGTTAAATGTGTCAATTATTGCTAAAAGTCAGGGACTTTAAATTAATATTTTGCTATTGCAAGAGAGATGTTTTCTGTTTTGTCTAGTCTTAAATGAACAATATTTTTTTTTTGTCTTTCAATTTGTTCCAAAACCTGGAGATAAAAGATTTGACTTCGTCGTTTTTATTGAAAACAGATCAATAGTTTCTGTAATCCTTCCTAAAACTCTCATGTTTTTTATAATTATTTTGCAATTACAACTATTTACTTGATGATTTTGCTCTTTTAACAAGTATAGTTGAAAAGTATTATCCTTTTCTTGCAAAATAAGTTGCTATCGAAGGCCAGTCACGATTTTTTTTAAAAAAGATCCATTTAAAAAAAAAAGTAGTAAAATAAAAACTATTACGATGGTAAAAAATCAACCAAAATAACTGTGATTTTGGTATTTTGCATGCATATTAAATACAGTAACCATTTTCTACTAGGGGGTGTTTGGCAATGCAAAAGTGAATTGAATTTTTTTTTAAATTAGGCAAATGGCTTTGACATCCATATCAACATGCAAGTGAAATGCAATATTTGTTTGAAAAAACAAAACTATTGTTTAAAGTACAATATGAAGATGATGTAGCAAAATCGGATTGATTCACCACTTGTCTTCACCACTTTCTTAGGGGAAGTTAGGATTGCATTAAATCTTGTACACCAATTTCTTGCATTTCACTTTCGTAACCACTTGCATACAAACAAACATCGAAAATGTTATATGCAAGCCACTTTTTCACTTTCATCTTTCACTCGCATACAAACATACATCCCCTAAGCTTATATTCTATATGTTTTGAAGTTCTTCTACTAAGCCTATATTCTGTATGTTCTAAAGTCTCAAATATGATGGTGTTATACCCAGTAAATTTTCAGGGGAGAGAAATGAAAAGAACCTGAAATAATTCTCTCCTCAAAAGAACAAAATTTCTGGAGAATCATCAACAATCTGCCAATGTAAACATACAACAACAAATACTACAGTAGGTCAAGCTACAAATAATCTTAACCTCCCAATTTCCTATTGTGCATCACAATAATCCACAAACAAGACTGTAACAGATATAAACATGAAACTTGTGTGGTTCATCATTAATACAGATGTACAATTGACAAATGAACAGTCTCTTTCTTTGCGGCATAACTGTGAGAGGATCTTAGAATCTAAAATCTGTACAAGGAATCTAAAGTATACAAAGAGAATACTCCAGCAGAAGCATCTCACTTGTATGCTCTGAACAAAAATTCTCTCATTAAAATTTCTCTATGAATCAGTACTTAAGAACCTTCAGATTTACTTGTATAAGGTACTGAACTATCCAACATACCTATGTTCTCCATATCTTCCTCGTTACTTGATGAACCATTGCTCATATCCAAGCGGCAATACTTAACACCATCATCACTCTCAAATTTATCGGGTTGACGAGTTGAAGTTTCATCAGACGATCTATTGTCTTCAGATATAGCAGCAATCCGAGATAAATCTGGACGCTTCAGGTTTAGGGTTGGCTCATTTGCTGACTTTAGGGCACTGCTTCCGTCGCCTTGAACCAAGTCAGTAACTCTAACCTGATTCATTGATCTATTTGATTAGAAACAGGAAACACACAAAGAAATATTAATTAATTTTAATAGGTTTAATGGAATATGGAACATATTTATGAATAGGAGTATTTGCAAATACACACCTTGTCATCCCTATTAAATTTAGGGTTAACAAGCAAAATTGACCCCCAAGATGCCAGGATTGGTGTGAAAGCAACAAAAAAAATTTAAATCATTTGATTTAAAAATAAACCATATATCGATCACTTCAAAAAAACTAAAGCAAGTAATAACAAAATATACCAATTTACACCATATATTGGACTGTTGAAATACAAAGCGAGTTTAAAATAAGTTGGTTGCATATTTTTGTGTCCGTGGGTGATGTTGGAAAGGACTGGGTGATGTTGGAAAGGGATGAGTTTAGAAGTAAATGAGTTAAAACTTTGGGTTTATAGACAAACAATCATTTTTAGAGGTGAATGATTATAAAATTAAATAGCCATTAATCTAGATTTATAGGAACCCATGTACAATGTCACGACATTATTGTGTGGAAAAATAAATAAATAAATGGTTTAAGCTTTTGGTTCAAGTATACAACGCATACATAATAGCTTAGAGAAAATTATAGAAAGTTAACTAACACCGCTTACCAAAGTGTTGAAATACAAATTAGTGAGATTAAAATTAATATGGAAGAGTATTTTGGGACTTAAGAGTGATTTTTCAAAGAGGGCGAGTTCTTAAAAATAACGGGAGGTAAAACTTTGGGTTTATAGACTGAAAACACTTTCTGGAAGTGTAGGTTTAAAAATAAATGGGAGTAAACCTTCAGTTTTATATGTCAAAAACCATCTACAATTTCGCCACATTAGTTTGAAAAAAGAAAGTAGAAAAAAGAATTTATAATATTTAGTTTTAAAAATGCATTGTATATGTAAGCACTTAGTTAGCAAGTTGCAATAAAAAATCACAATTCACAATATATAATAAACTGCTAGAATAAAAATAAGATTTAGAAATAAATGTAGTCAAAACTTTTGGTTTCTAGGCAGCCAAAAAACATCTTTCTATTGTATATTATATTATTATTATTATATTATACTTTTTGTAATAATCCATTTTTTTTGTTGCAAATCAATAAATTAAGTGGGTCAAATGTGCAACTAAGAGGCCCACATATGTTGGAATTAGACAAGAAAAATAATTGAAGGCCCAATAGTGTTAGCAAAACCTCAAAAGCCCATTTTCCTTTTTTTCCCCTTTGATTTTTTTTTTCTTCCCTTTCACGTGTGAGGGAGTAAATTTCGGTCATTTTTTTCCTCCATTAATCCCTCAACTAATTCCCCTAATCTCTCCACAAAACAAATTCCTCCATAAATCTCTCCACACTAATTCCCTTACCAAAAATTCCGTTACTAAATTCCTCCATTAAATCCAGTACCCCTTCGTTTTCCCCTAACTCAAAAAAAAAAAATTCTCACGAAAAAAAAATGGAGAGAAACCGAAAAAAAAGAGAAAGGAAGGAGAAAGACGAGTTTTTGGATTTGGGATTCAGAGTCTCTTCCGACAAATCGACTTGGGAATTGTTCTTTCTTCGCAGGACCAAGAGTACTTTAAGGATTAAGACCAGCGACAGTGATCTCCTTCTCTCTTTTGACTCTCTCAGCTTCAATTATTAAGTCTTTTTTATAATCACTTGTGGTACTCCAGACTAAGATGTATTTTTCCTCTTTCCTACTTTGAAGAGTTGTGGACATGTAAGAGAACTTGTCTTTTCAGAGTTTTCTTTATCTATCTAGTTCCTTTGCTATCTTAGTTACATGCTCTATGTAGTAGTTCTTTTGGTAATATATCTGTATACAGGATAATCCAGAGGCGTGAATGTAACCGTATGGTTGCATTGCCGACCGAGTCACGCTCCAAATTATCACGTTTTGGACCCGGGGCGTGACAAGGTTTTTATTGGTATCAGAGCCTAGGTTAGATAACTGGACTCTCATCCTGTACATAACTATTGGATCTTTTAAAATAGGAATAGGAGTCTGAGCATGTATAATATTAGGGTCGTTCCTTCTTGAAATATCTTTTTGCGCTTACTCCTTTGATTCCGCATCCAAATTCATTTCTATCTTAACAGTTTATTCTTTTCCCTTCTCAAGCCAAGTGTATACAGACTTAGTCAATGAGCACAAATATGTTTTGGGTAGACTAGCCCCAAGCTTCATAAGTTAAGCTACCAGGAATATTTGTCCAGCCACTATCCCTCACCTTAGCAACTACTACAAGTTCATGGCTGCATAATTTTGGGTGAAGTTATCTCAGCCAACATATCATCTAAATCAAACCATTTAGCTCCAGCTAGTTCATGCGACTGAACTTGGATGTTCTTTATGTGCTAACCAATCAGGATACTAGTAGACTTGAAAACTTTTCAGTTACCTCCAGTTAGACTAGTATCTTAGCCCCGTTAGGTCATGTGAGAGTAATATTTTTAAGATTAACTCGATGTAGATATGCATGTAAAGCAAATCCATCTAGTGATGCATGTGCATTTGATTATCTAGATTATCGATCTTGAGAGTGGCTTTCCTACTTGTTAATATGCATGGCATCCAAGAATCAGGAATTATATGGAGGATATTGTATAATATTGAGGGTATATATTGGAGACTAGATTTTGTGAGATAACAGCCATATAAAGTTAAGAATTTGCTTTGAGGATATTAAATGGCTATGTTGAGTAAATTAGAAATAATATTCCTACGATTAATGGATACTGATCAGATTTTCTTTTTAATGGTTAGGTTTGACTATGATCTTGGAATTGAGTTAATAAATTGGATCTTCATTGGTTATCAATCAAATTGAGGTGTGAATTGGGTACAACATTGACAAATTTTGTAAGTTAAAATTTTATAGTGGTTCATAGCTAGTTGATGATCTCTTGTAGAGGACTTATGATGAAATCACATAATGATAGCATAATCAGATCTGATTAATTAGCAGACACAAGATTGGATTAAATCCATGAGAACTTTATGAGAATTCCCAATATTGAATTTGAGTACTATTACATTAGTGTACTAGGATGTAACCTTTTCCTTTTCGATAAATGGTTGGGGAATCATCAAAAATTTTAAATATGCTCAATAGTTTAATAAATTGAGATTATGATTGTAATCTACGAGGTGAGAATTTTTGGGAAGTATAATGGGTAAATCCTTATAACTAGGTTTAGCGGGATAAATACTAAGTGTTGTAGATAGATTAGCTTAGAACTTGATGGATTAGAGTGGTTTAGTAATGAGTAACTACATGATATTATTTGCTTATATATTAGGTTACAAATATGATGAGGAAGATAAACTAGACCAGAATGTCTTTGTATTTAATCCTTATATCTTCACTTTATATCTTTCAAAATTCTTAACCAAGTGATTGCATGTATTAGTATATGTAGCTTGACACGTGAGCTTGGCATGAATCTGTGTTTGCTTGATATTTGTGCTACTGAAACATCCTTAGATTATTCAATATGGGTTATGCACGGTGTATGATGTTGATGTGACTATGTACCCAATATATGATCGAGATATTACATGATGATTGATATCTAGAAAAATATTTTAATTCTTGAGAATTGCCACTGAAACATGATTCCAACAACATATTCATAACTTTAAGAAATACAAGGACAAGAACTTCATGAAAAGTCTCATGCTAGGATCTACCAGTTTTATATTAGTATCAAATTATCTTAGGTTGTACATGTTTATGATGCCATAGTGTTGAATGTCAAGCGAGTCATTCAAGACACCGTTGTAATATTTATATTGGGATACATGTTTTAGTGAGAGGGGGCTCGTGATCTTCCTCCACTGGATTATGATTGGTGGTGGTCCTAAGGGTGACGATCCTTAGGACCAAACTTGGGAAAGAATTGGTTTACATGTATCATGTCTTGACTGATCTCGCAAGGGATTCATGCTATGGAGAGTCTTTCCAATAGGCTTATAGTATATGATATGAGATATACACCACAACAATCTAGATTTGGGTATAACCTATCATGTGATCGAATAGTAAAAATGAAATTCATAAAGGATAGGAGAAAGTGATGATGAAGTCTTAAAACATATACGTGCAACCTATCACATGCATATAAGGATGCACAGATATAAATCCAGGTGAAAGCCATACTTTTGACATGTCAGAGTATTCCCTAGTGATAATTGAGAGTGTTTATATGCATGGATGTGTTTACCATATTTCCAAGATTTTTTTTGTTTACATTCCTACAAGTAAAATACTTTTCTGACTTCAATATATCAGATGACTTGTGTTCTAGACAATTATCTATCATAGAGGCCTCTTTCATTTTTTTTGTAGAATTATCTGTATACACCACCTATGGAAAAGTTATATATCTGTTACCGTTTGTTCTTTCTTGTACTTAAATAAAATTTCGAAGACGAAATTTTTTTTTCTTAGGTGGGTAGGATGTAATAATCCATTTTTTTGTTGCAAATCAATAAATTAAGTGGGTCAAATGTGCAACTAAGAGGCCCACATATGTTGGAATTAGACAAGAAAAATAATTGAAAGCCCAATAGTGTTAGCAAAACCTCAAAAGCCCATTTTCCTTTTTTTCCCCTTTGATTTTTTTTCTTCCCTTTCACGTGTGAGGGAGTAAATTTCGGTCATTTTTTTCCTCCATTAATCCCTCAACTAATTCCCCTAATCTCTCCACAAAACAAATTCCTCCATAAATCTCTCCACACTAATTCCCTTACCTAAAATTCCGTTACTAAATTCCTCCATTAAATCCAGTACCCCTTCGTTTTCCCCTAACTCAAAAAAAAAATTCTCATGAAAAAAAATGGAGAGAGAAACCGAAAAAAAAGAGAAAGGAAGGAGAAAGACGAGTTTTTGGATTTGGGATTCAGAGTCTCTTTCGACAAATCGACTTGGGAATTGTTCTTTCTTTGCAGGACCAAGAGTACTTTAAGGATTAAGAC